TTTTACTATTTTACTATTTTACTATTTTACTATTTTACTAATTTTACGGGAAATCGGGAGTTTGTATCTCGAAAACCCACCTGTGCCGGTTGGACCCAGAAATTACCGCTTTCCTGATTTCGCGCGAAATCCAGAGAAAGTCTCCCTCTCTCTTTACTTTTTATAGGATTTCCTCCACGGGCTCAGCAGTTTGCATCTCGAAAACCCACCTGTGCCGTTCCGACCCAGATTTTACGATTTTACTATTTTACTATTTTACTATTTTACTATTTTACTATTTTACTATTTTACTATTTTACTATTTTACTATTTTACTATTTTACTATTTTACTATTTTACTATTTTACTATTTTACTATTTTACTATTTTACGATTTTACTATTTTACTATTTTACTATTTTACTATTTTACTATTGTACTATTTTACTATTTTACTATTTTACTATTTTACTATTTTACTATTTTACTATTTTACTATTTTACTATTTTGCTATTTTACTATTTTACTACTTTATTAATTTTACGGGAAATCGGGAGTTTGCATCTCGAAAACCCACCTGTGCCGGTTGGACCCAGAATTTACCGCTTTACTGATTTCGCGCGAAATCCAGAGAAAATTCCTCCCTCTCTCTTTACTTTTAATAAGATTTCCTCCACGGGCTCAGCAGTTTGCATCTCGAAAACCCACCTGTGCCGGTCCGACCCAGATTTTCCTATTTTACTATTTTACTATTTTACTATTTTACGATTTTACGATTTTACTATTTTACTATTTTACTATTTTACTATTTTACTATTTTACTATTTTACTATTTTACTATTTTACTATTTTACTATTTTACTATTTTACAATTGTACTATTTTACTATTTTACTACTTTATTAATTTTACGGGAAATCGGGAGTTTACATCTCGAAAACCCACCTGTGCCGGTTGGACCCAGAATTTACCCCTTTTCCTGATTTCGCGCGAAATCCAGAGAAAATTCCTCCCTCTCTCTTTATGTGCCGGTCCGACCCAGATTTTACTATTTTACTATTTTACTATTTTACTATTTTACTATTTTACTATTTTACTATTTTACTATTTTACTATTTTACTATTTTACTATTTTACTATTTTACTATTTTACTATTTTACTATTTTACTATTTTACTATTTTACTCATTTTACGGGAAATCGGGAGTTTGCATCTCGAAAACCCACCTGTGCCGGTTGGACCCAGAATTTACCACTTTACTGATTTCGCGCGAAATCCAGAGAAAATTCCTCTTTCTCTCTTTACTTGTAATAAGATTTCCTCCACGGCCTCAGCGGTTTACATCTCGAAAACCCACCTGTGCCGGTTGGACCCAGGTTTTACTACGTTTTACTATTTTACTATTTTTACGCGAAATCACCTACCTTTGCATGTGGGACCCCAAGAAAGTTTGCATCTCGAAAACCTACCTTGGCATGTCGGACCCCCAATTTGCATGTCGGACAGAGGGATCCCCCCCACCTGCCGCTTGACAACTGCCACAGTCCAGCCCGTGTTTTTCCAAACTCCTAAACCCTAAACCCGCAACCCCCCACCCCAAAAAAAATGTAAAGAAATAAAGAATAATAGTAGAAATAATAGTAATAATAATAGTAAAAACAAAAATACTAATAGTAAAAATAATAATATTATTATTCTAATAATAATAATAATAATAAACACAGTGTATATATATATACACATATATGTATATATATATATATGTATATATGGTACCCCCCCCCAAAAAAAAAAAAAAGTTCGCAGCATGGCATGACGGCAAGAAACGGCTTAGAATCGATTTTACTCCAACGCCCATAGCAAAAAGCAGCGAGCGGCTTCAAAATCGATTTTGATCCCCCTCCAGCACCAATGAACTGGAAGTAGGGTGGCTTGGAATCGGTTCCAATCCAGTGGTCCAAAAGCTCGGCCTGGACCAGTTTAGGGTTTAGGGTTTAGGGTATAGGGTTTAGGCTTTAGGCTTTAGAATCTGAAGTTCGAATCGAGTTCCAGCCCCTGGCGTGAATATCTTCAAGAGCCCTGGCTGGGTTGAATACCGCCACCCTCTGTGAAGTTTCCAACAAACGACCCTTCCGAGCTGGTTGCTGGCTTCAGCATTCCTCTACTCAGCCTTGGCATCTGGAATTGTAGCATCCTCCACCCAGACCTGGCCTCCTTCATACATGCGGGTTTGCGAAAATAGGGGACCCCCAGAAAAGAGCCCCAACTAGTAGGATTCCCTGGAAATAAGGACCCCAATAAGGTACCCCACATCCTCAATCCCAAACGTAGCTAGATGAACCCGGCATGTTTGTTCCGTGAGTCTCGGTGTGGTTTGTTCAATGCCGGGTTGTCCAAGAGCATAGAGGATGAGCGTCGGGGTTCAGGCGCATGACTAAATCGCACACTTTCTGAAGGCCCCTTCACATGCAAATTATTTAACTCACCTGCCATATTTACATTGTTCAGTTCGGGGGGGGAGAACAACATAATCTAAAATAACTTAAATCTTGAAAGCGGGGGGCAGCTCCTTCCTTCTGGGGGAAATGAGAAGAATCAAATAATTTTCATATGAACGCCCCTATTTACATCTGAAGGCCCCCTCAGATTTAACGTATTTACCTTATCTAAGTCTCCTTGCGGGAGCGGACCAGGACCCCCTTTCAGGATTTAGATTTTGCAAATCCGAAATTGTTTAGACATACTTAATTCCCTCCCCGAATTAAATAGTTTAAATATGAAGGCCCTATTTAAATGTCAAGGCTCCTCTATATTCAACATTTGTAAATTACATAATTCTCCTCCCTCAATAGTTTAAATATGAAGGCTCGCTACCGTCTGAGTTGATCTGTGACATAGAGAGGCAAATCTGCGAATCCGCTCGAGAAAACGCACAAATTTCAAATCTGCGAATCTGAGTTTTCTCGAGGAAAAACAGATTTCAACTATGGAGATCTGCTTTTTCTCGAGGCAACGCAGATTCCAGGATTTGCAGATATGCAACCCTCAACAAATCTGCGAATCTGCGTTTTCTCGAGGAAATGCAGATTCGCAGATTTGCAGATTCGTGGGGGGCTGCAAATCTGCAAATCTGCGAATCTGGGTTTTCTCGAGGAAACGCAGATTCTCAGATTTGCAGATTTGTTGGGGTCTGCACATCTGCAAATCTGCGAATCTGGTTTTCTCGAGGAAACGCAGACTCGCAGACTTGCAGATTTGTTGGGGACTACAAATCTGCAAATCTGCGAATCTGCGTTTTCTCGGGGAAACGCAGATTTGCAGATTCGTTGGGGGCTCCAAATCTGCGAATCTGGGTTTTCTCGAGGAAACGCAGATTCGCAGATTTGCAGATTTGTTGGGGGCTACACATCTGCATGCAAATCTGCGAATCTGTTTTTTCTCGAGGAAACGCAGATTCGCAAATCTGCACGGGGCCTTGAGTTTGACCCTACACTCTTCCCACTCACGAGCAAAACAAACAGAAACATACAGAACACATAAGATACAGTATATATACACCTCATGTGCTGTCAGTTGCATGTGGACAATGTGCAGCTTGGTTTTCTTAGACCATCGCCCACCCCCATCCGACAAAGCACCTCGATGGACATCTGGATGAACGAAACGGGTTTTAAGCCGATGTCGAAGATGATTCCTTGTCCGATGTTTACAAGCTTGTCCAAAGCCTGAAAATTCTGAGTTTTGACTTCCTTCCTTCTTCCGGTTGGTGTCGGTTTTGCGGCGGCAGGCTTGGACGTGGACTTCGAGGAGGGGGGGGGGAGCCTGTTGCAGTTGGACTTGGGGTTGGACCTGGGTTTGGTCGGCAAAGAGCATCAAGTTCAGGTGAAGGTGGCGGGGACCTCGCGAAGTTGAAGAGTTCTCCCAAGCCTTACTACAGACGGCAGTGCTGGCAAAGCAACCGGCAACACTAAACGCGCTTTGCGTGATTCTAAACCCTCAGCCCTACATCCAAACTCTAAACCCTAAACCCTAAACCCCTAAGCCCTTGCGTGGCAAAAATGGGGAGCTCCAGGGATCCCCCTTTTTGCCAAGCCGCTGGAAACCGGCAGAGGGCTGACTGCTGGGGCATCCTTGCCAACAAGAGCACAACTATGGATGCGTTTAGGGTTTGGGTTTAGGGTTTAGGGTTTAGGGTTTAGGGTTTAGGGTTTAGGGTTTAGGGTTTAGGGTTTAGGGTTTAGGGTTTAGGGTTTACGGTTTAGGGTTTAGGGTTTAGGGTTTTTAGGGTTAGGTTTTTAGGGTTTAGGGTTTAGGGTTTAGGGTTTAGGGTTTAGGGTTTAGGGTTTAGGGTTTAGGGTTTAGGTTTAGGGTTTAGGGTTTAGGGTTTAGGGTTTAGGGTTTAGGGTTTAGGGTTTAGGGTTTAGGGTTTAGGGTTTAGGGTTTAGGGTTTAGGGCCTAAACCTTAGGGTTGTCTGCCCAACTCATGGTCTCGTTGGGCCCATCTTTTGGTCTGTGGAGGCAACTACTACTTGGAACCCTAAACCCTAAACCCCAAACCCCAAACCCTAAACCCTAAACCCTTGACACCATGTCAGGGCGTCCTGGAGGCATCCCTGGATCCTGGATAAGACGAGCTTGGTCCTCGAGATGATTCAAGCGGGCCCTAAACCACCCAAACTTCGAGCCCCTCTGCGAATATTATACAATACTATACAACATTATACAATATTATACAATATTACACAATATCATACAATATTATACAATAATGTACAATATTATACAATCAAGTTGGCGCAGAGGTGCTCCTGAATCTGCGTCGCATGATGTCGCATGCCCACGCGAGGCTTGGAACCTGGCATTGGATGTGCTGCCTGCGACTCTTGAGCACATTAATATGGCGTGCGACAGCAAGCGAACACGCGTGCACATGCTGAGGCAAGCATCTCAAGAGCCGTCCATTTTTCTTTTGGCACGCGCAGTTCCGAATAGCCGGCAAGGAAGCTGGAGTTTTGACGCCTCAGAAGCACTTGCGATGCACGATGCTCGGCCCAGATTCATCATATTCCTCCTTGGCAATCCACATCTGCTGGAAAGTGCTGAGGGACGCCAAGATCGAACCGCCAATCCACACACCGTACTTCCGCTCAGGCGGAGCAACCACCTTGACCGTAATACTTGCCGGAGCCAGGGTTGTGAGCTCTTTTGTCAGGCGCTCTCCAATGCCGTCGAACATGGTGTTGCCGCCCTCCAAAACCACGTTGCCATAGAGATCCCTGCGAATGTCGACGTCGCATTTCATGATGGACTGGAACACAAGGTCATGGACCCCTGCCTGTTCAAGGCCAATGAAGGACGGGTCGAACATCGCTTCCGGGCAACGGAAGCGCTCAGCCCCAACGGTGATCACTTGACCGTCAGGCAGCTCGTAGTTCTTCTCTATCGAGGACGATGTTTCGGCATCCTTCAGCTCCTGGTTGTAGTCTTTGGCAACGTAGCCCAGCTTCTCCTGCTCAGGCTTTGAAAAACGAAACAACATCGATTCGTCAAAAAAAACACACGCCCCAAATCTTCTGAATGATGGCTTCTATGGCTTCTGTTGTATGCGTTGTGCCATACGTGGTTGCTTGCGTCGCAGGTGTTGATCTGTTGTGCAAGAAAGCGAGAGATTTCCAAGTATGTCATGTTGGATCGAGCAAGCCGCGTTTCGTTCTTCATCAGGACACGTGTTGGACATGTCCTTCCGAAACCCCTCGCCTTTATGTCTCGCACAATCTCTCTTTCTGCGGTGGTCGTGAAGGAGTAGCCGCGCTCGGAGAGGATTCTCACCATGCGGTCCGTGAGATCGCGACCGGCCATGTCCAACCGCTGGATGGCATGGGGCAGCGCATATCCCTCGTAGATGGGCACCGAGTGGGAGACACCATCACCGCTGCTCAGCACAACGCCGGTAGTGCGGCCGGAGGAATAGAGGGCCAGCACACCCTGGATTGACACATACATCGCAGGGGTGTTGAAGGTCTCGAACATGATCTGGGTCATCCTTTCACGATTGGCCTTGGGGTTCAGAGGAGCCTCGGTGAGTAGTACAGGGTGCTCTTCCGGAGAGACACGCAGCTCGTTGTAGAAGGTGTGGTGCCAGACTTTCTCCTCACGGCTCCAAAAGTATAAAGCCGGATTGAAAAAACGAACTCAAAAAACACTTAGAGAGGCTTCGCCTTGATTCTGTCAAGCTTCCAGGTCTTCCCAATTGGTGACGATGCCGTGCTCAATGGGGTATCTGATTGTCAGAATGCCGCGCTTGGCCTGCGCCTCATCTCCGATATAGGCATCCTTTTGGCCCATGCCGACCATGACCCCTTGATGTTTGGGCCTCCCAACGATGCTGGGGAAGACGGCGCGGGGAGCGTCGTCCCCAGCAAAACCGGCCTTCATCATGCCGCTGCCGTTGTCAAGCACGAGAGCCTGGACCTCATCACCGTAGCCGTATCCTCCAAGGCGCCTGCCGAGCAGCTTCAGCGCCGTGGGGTCAGCAGCGAAGCCCTGCGTGTGCTTCAGGAGCTCGATCATCAGGTCCCCCTTGGCGCCATTGGCACCCACCAGTCGACTCCGGAGCCCCGAGATGGTGCCGTCGTCCTGGGAGTGCCGATAGCGCAGGCGGGCCTCCAGGGCTTGGCGCCGCAGGCTCCTCACCAGCGCGCGGCGGAAGCTGAGCTGAGCCTCGGGCTCCTTCCGGCGCGTTTGAACTGCGGCAAATCTTGTGCAACACTTGTGTGCCGAGGAGCGGTTTGCGGTTGCCTTTTCGCCATCAGGAACTTAGGGTGCCCTCGTGTGGGTGAGTTTCTTGGAGGGCAGCATGCGAGTCTTCCAGGCGACTCCTTACTCGCCGGAGCACTCAGGACTACGGCCTCGAAGGGCCCCCATGAATTCGTATGTCAGGGTTGGTCTGAATGCTCATAAAGTAGAAGTGGACCCCCGCCCCCCCAAACACGCTAAAAGGATGACTCCCCCTCCACCCACTTTCTAGGCTTTCTCAGGGCTGAAAAGTCCCAGAATGTGACTCCCCCACACTTATGGCTCCCCTCCCCCCCCCAAAACGCGGGGAGTCACATTCTGGGATTTTCAGGGCTGAAAGGTCCTGGAATGTGACTCCCCCGCACTGCCATGTCCCGGCTTGGGCCAAGGCGCAACTTCAGCACACAATGCAAACAGGCTTCGAGAAAAAACCATGGTCCAGGTGCGTGCCTACACTCTTGTCTGCCAATATACATTCGTAAACAAGCTCTACAGGTACGTACCAACAATCTCCCCTGCAACAATTTCTCGGCCGATCTGATCGGCCACTTTTCTTGAACGCTGGGGTAAACCCCCCAGGTAGGGGTGCCAAATACGGAGTTTTAAGGTTTCCTCAGCTCGTCTCCGTGCGTGTGTGTGCGCGGATTTGGCCTACTGGTATAGCGTACTCTCTTAAGAAACAAGTTAAAAACCTAGCATACCCTAGATCAAAGTAGATCAAACCCCCCTGGTAACCCTAAACCCTAAACCCTAAATGGAAACTAAGAAACTTAGGGTACCCCAGGGCCTGGAAACCGTTTTCTTTACACAACGCTTTCACTGCCCACTCCCCTTCTGTCCTGCAAGCCAATGGTGTGATGCGGCTGCATCTCTTCATCACTCAGCGGCATGAGCCCTGCATTCTTGGCCATCGCGTGCCTGCAAACATGGGACACACAGCAAGCTGCGGCGGTGAAGTTTGTGGGAACGACCTTCTAGACCTCGAGGAGAGAAGCGAAGCCAAAACCAAAATGCTGGAGGCTGCGTCCCCTTATCAGTACTCACTCTAATCGAGCCTGCGCGCGTAGCAGTCCAACATCTTCCCCGAGTGCAGGACGATGAAAGATGCATGCGATTGATCTGCGATCAGGCGTAGCTTGTAGAGGTCATGGCAGTCCTTCCCAGGATGCAAGAAAAATCAACAAAATGTGCAGGCATCTCCTACCGAGAAAAAACATCTCAAAGCTTTTAGTCTTTTGCCGTCTCGGCCTCCTCATGATGCGCGTGGACCAGGACGTCGCAGCTGGCCAGGTGCACCTTGAAGCGCGCGGCGCAGCGATCCGGCATGTCGGAGCTCACCGTCAGCAAGCTGTGGCCGATCTTCTCTTCCCACACCGGGCATCGGCCCTCGGGGGCGATCGCGCTGGGCATGAGGTACTCCTGCATTGTCGAGGACCTCAAGGCTTCACGGCTTCACCCCCCGAAGGGATGTTGAAAAAAAAAAAGGAGCCAAGAAGTTGGGAAACTCTCGCTGACAGTGTACACCATGCTGACAGTGTACACCATACATGCAGGCATGCAAGACCCCGAACGATCCAAGCCGAGGGGCAACCAGTTCTTAGCCACGTGTTCGGCACGGCCACCGGTGATGCAAATGTGATGGGGCTCCGCCTGTGGAAGCTCCGTGAGTCGACGCCGCAAGGTCTCGGCAGTCTCGGCAGATGCATCCTCCAAGGACCTCTGAAGCTAAAATTTGGGGAATGAGGTACCATATATAACCCCTTATAGGGTATATAGGGGATATGGGTTTTAGATGCATCCTCCAAGGACCTTGTGGGTGTGAAGTAGCCGCGCAGGATCATCTTCGCAACGGCCGCATGGTCGATGTCCTTCTTCTTGAACTCCTTGGCCAGCTCGTCCTCGCAGCTGCCAGCAAGGCCCACGGCATCACACACGGCCTTGGCGTCGTAGTTGTTCTCCTTCAGCAAGGCCTTGATTGCTCCGACCGAGCGCTTGCCTTCATGCGGGTTGACAGAGACCTGATTGTCGGTGTGCACCTTCCTCAGATGCTTCATCTCTGCTTTCAAAGCCTTTCCTCGAAAATCCATTGCTTCCACAGCCTCCTTGGACATGTGGCTAAGCGCCTGCTTGCGTTGATCTGCGGCCGGCTCGGGTGGAATGACCAAGTGCGAGGTACCATCGTGAACGACCTCGGTGGACTTGCCCGAACTACCCAAGAAGTAGCCGCCGCCGAAAGCTCCACACGCCACCACCAGGCCAATGACGATGCCAATGACCGGGTTGCAGCCCTTGCCCTCTGTCTTGTCACTAACAGGCTGGTACCCCTTTGTGTCAGCCATCCAGTGATAAAAGGAGCGCGAGTTCAACGACTAGGTGCAGGCTTCGAGCCGAAAGACCTAAAGCAAAGGGCGGAGCAAGATCCTGTCGTGTCGTGTTCTGTTCCTTGCTCAACGACAAGCATGTTCTTCCACCACGTCCACCCCACCCCCCGGCCTCTGCTCCTCCGTCTTCCTGCAGTCCGAGACATCAGGAGGTCTCGCACAATTCATTCACTCAGGCTGAATATCCGCAAACACCGCAATCCTTGAAGCTGGGCACGGGCCGAGATTCGTCGGGAGCTTGGCTGTGGCTCTGCAAAGGTCACCTCCAAATGGGCTCAGGGGTCCAAACCTCCATAGTGCAAACTTAGGGTTTAGGGTTTAGGGTTTAGGGTTTAGGGTTTAGGGTTTAGGGTTTAGGGTTTAGGGTTTAGGGTTTAGGGTTTAGGGTTTAGGGCAATGTATGCAGCAGGCTTTGAGGCTACGACTGCGACTGATGCTGATACGGAGCGACTCAGGGGCCTGCAAGCAGGATCCAACCGGGGCTGCGGCACGCAAGCTTGATCTTTGAAGGTAAAAAGTTCATTCCTTGCTTTGAAGCTTTCAAAACTCAACAAGGCTGCCATGACCAGATCTTATGCAAGAGCTGCGCGACAGCCTGCGGTCCAGCGAGGGTGAGACTCACATAAACCGAGCACTGAATGCACAGATTCCGTGAGCGTCTACGATGATAAACAGGCTACAGTGCTAGGGTTCAGCTCTTCGGATATATATTCGCCTGCTCTTCCTCTGTCAGGCAAGTTGCTCTGAGGCTTTGGGGCACCGCACGGAAGCTTTCGGGATTGGTAGCCACAGAAGAGGAACGCGAAACTCGACAACCTCACAGGGCATGGCCGAAGCGATAATCATGTGATAAGCGGCAGGCGTTACAATGTCAGAGTCTTGCGAAGCTAAACGCTGTGACATGGGGGCCTTGTTTCCAATTCCATGAGGCACTCTGCGGGCAGAAATCTGCGAAAAAGTTCGGAGATGGCTGCTAGCTCCGGTTAGGTTGGGGTCTTCACAACTTTGAGGACGGGTACAAGGCTTTAGGACTCCTGAGCTGACGGGTCGACAGACCACTTGAAAGCTCGGGAAACTTGCCAGTTCTGCGTCCCTAAACACTGCATCTCCCAAGCCCCGAAGAAAGGTGTGAGACTCTGCCATAGGCTCCAGTCTGCGACAGGAGGATCCTCGTGAACGCGGCCGCAACGGATGACAGGCTCTTGTTGCACTCAGGACCAATTGTGAAGCAAAGAGCGCAAAAATCGGCTTCGAATTCCAGAATTCGCAGCAAGATCGACAGCCCCGCCACCACTTCCCAAACCTGCAAGGGAGCATCACGCGCTCTTTGCCTCCGCAGCGTCGCCAGCTGCCTTTTCTTGACACATGGGGAGAAGCACCAAAGCTGCGTCGAAGGTCTTGAGCTGCAGCACCGAGCAATGCTCCTCGGCCACACTCTGCTGCGCAGGCTGCTAGAGCATCACAAGGGGCGTATTGGCGCTATTCCAGCTGCCACACAGCCACAGCTCGAACAGCGCAAGAGTTGAAGCCAATTGACAGAGCCGACAGGGTCATCGTCCTGCCGGATCTGCTGGGTTTCCTCAAGGTTGTTCCCGTGGCTCGGCGACGTGTGGTCACCCTGTCAACTGACAGCGGACGCCGGTGGAGAGGTGCACTTGGGGTCGGGGCAGTTCGACAGCAATAGCAAGCAGCGTTTGGTTCCAACCCTGGTATTCGGCAATGAGGGGAAGCCGCTGCCATGCCATCGTGATGCGGGGACTTGGCAGGCCAAGCAAACAGGAGTCGACGGCTACAGGGCATGCTGCAAAGACTTGATGCCAAAGGTAAACAGGGCCACAAGCACTTGAGGAGGGCCCACACTTTCGGTCACCACCCGCCTACACAGCCGCGCAGCTGTTCGGTCACCCCGGCTGGTCCTTTTGCTGAAAGAGTCCCAATGCTCTTGACATGGGCACACCACGTCGCATCAAGACCACAAGTCAAGAGACTTTAGATCGACAAGGAAAGGGAGCTGGCATAATCCCCTCCCCTAGTATTGAAATAACACCCCCCCCCCCTACCCCCTAACCCCCTACTATTTAAATATCCCCTCCCCCCCTATATACTACAATAGAACTCTACTGTGGTCATTTAATATTGGGGTCCGGGGGGTGGTTTAATATTCGGGGGAGGGGAGTGCACTGTACACTTCTCAAGGGTCTCATTGGGAAGCATTCTTCTTGTGAGGATTCAGCGACTTCGCAGCTTCCGGAGAGAGACTCTGTTCCCGTGTGGTGTGGCGACTGATACTATGTGTGGCCTGGCTACTGCGCGAAGACGCCTGGGACACCCATGTTGCTAATGGCCGTGCTGCTTCTCAAAGCCTGTACACCAGCAGCATGATATGCAGTGACGCATCACGGCGTCGAACGGCCCTTGCTCAGGCGTCCACTTCCATCGCATCCGCTTGCACAAGCCTTTCACAAGCGCTGGCTCCAGCTACATCTGGATGATCCAGAGCTTTCGCAGCTGCAGAGTGTCTGGCCTGGGCGGCAGCACACGCAAGCGACGTTTGTGCCTCGCCTCAGCTACTCGCTACTGTCCTTCAAACCCAGCGGAGCCGTTTAGGGGATGGTCCCTCAGCCCGGCGCCTGCTTCTTCGAAGAGCACACATCTCCTGAGTCTTTTATTGGGAGCCTTGGGATTTACGGGGTGGGTGCCGGTACAGCCTGCCAAAAACCTGAGGCCGTCAAATCAGAAGCTGTGAGGCCCTGAACAAGCATCGAACCCTAAACCCTAAACCCTAAACCCTAAACCCTAAACCCTAAACCCTAAACCCTAAACCCTAAACCTTAAGGCACCCCACGCATGGGCTTTGGCATGTTTACGGCCGGAGACAAATCCTAAGCCCATTTGGGATTCTGCGCCCCTCAACCCTAAAGCCCAAACCCTAAACCCTAAACCCTTAACCCTAAACCCTAAACCCTCACCCCTTCCCACGCTCCTTGGAAGAGGAGGCTGAGAGGCTTGATGTGCACAACGGCTCGGAAGCCTCCTCCCGAAGCCTCTTCCTCCCACCTGGGTTGTTTAGGGTTAAGGGTTTAGGGTTTAGGGTTGAGGGTTTACGGTTTTTGGTTTAGGGCTCGTTGGACTTAGTAAGTGGGGTTATCAGTACGGTAACTCTACCTGACACTTATAATCCCTGCTTACTAAGTGCCCCGACTCTCGAGGTGCAGCTGCGAGAGCACACGGTGACACCGCACCCCCAAGTCTTCTTGCTTCAGGGTTTAGGGTTTAGGGTTTAGGGTTTAGGGTTTAGGGTTTAGGGTTTAGGGTTTAGGGTTTAGGGTTTAGGGTTTAGGGTTTAGGGTTTAGGGTTTAGGGTTTAGGGCTGCTTATGAGAGATCTTCTTGTCGCAGGCTAACTGGGGGATAAGAACCCTTTCTCGACCTGGGAACAAAACTTATCGGAAACATATTCCAAAGCATTCGTAAAGGATCATGTTTTCTACTAAGAAGAAGCATCCAACCCCTCGTACACGTTGATACGAAGTCGACGACCGTACTCGCGGGGCCTACACCCAAAACCCCAAACCCTAAACCCTAAACCCTAAACCCTAAACCCTAAACCCTAAACCCTAAACCCCGCCCTGATTGCAAGGCATGGTGACTGCAGAGCCGCGGCGTCGCATTGCCGGTACTTCTTTTGGGCCCACTCCTTGACACGGGGGGGGGGGGGTTTACGATACTAGGGGTACCTTATTGGGGGTTCTTACTCTAAGGGAATTCTACACTGTACCTTATTGGGGTCCTTATTCTAAGGGGTATTCTACAATTGACCTTATTGGGGTCCTTGTCACAAGGGAATCCTACAATTTGGGTCTAAATTCGGGGACCCGGTTTTTCGTAAACCTCCATTTCATGTCGAACGGTCCGAACATGAGGTCTCCAGCGTCGCTGGGCATACCCCAAGCCCTGAGCAGTTGACTATGGGGTTAGGGTTTAAGGGTTCAGGGTTTTAGGGTTTTAGGGTTTTAGGATTCTAGGGTTTTAGGGTTTTTGGGTTTTAAGGTTTTAAGTTTTAAGGGCTTTAGGGTTTGAGGGGTTAGGGCAACAGCGATAAAGAGCAGCATGGCCCAAGAATATGCTGAAGCTCGGCCCCTCAACGCAACAGCTTTATCTTGGTGAATGGCACTGAAGACAACAAAAGTCTTCGTATACATGTCTTGGACAACTCCCTCTGTAGCGTCAGCTGCAGAAAGCAACCGTGCAAGAAGTACCATGAAGACGACCGCTATGCAGGACTGAAGCTGCATCGAAGCGGCCACAAGGCGGGCTTTGGGGTTCGTGAGCCCCTGCCCATTCATTCCTTCCGCTTCCGCAGGACGTGGGGCACAAGAGCACATCCTTGGGGACGCAAGGCCTAAAACCCCAAGGCCCTAGATGGCAGTCGCGCAAGCCATGCCGAATCGGGGCCGTGGGCCAGGCACTCGAACTTTGAATCAAGACGCGACGGCACCCCTCGCTTGGCATAGCTGGTCGGCTGGCTGTGGTTATCCAAGCAATCCTCACCATTTGCAAAGGGCATGCTTCTCATCTTTGACATCGGACGACGACTCACCTGAGCCCGAAAGAAACACGCAACCTGCATCGCATGGATGCCTCTAAGGCCCTTAACACTCCACACCCTCCTCCCAAGTCTACGCAGACGTTCTCAAAAGCCAGGCTTCAGTCTTGCGAAGGCGTAATGCCACCAAGAACCTCACACTTCGTTCAGGGCTTAGGGTTTTCAGGGTTTTCAGGGTTTTCAGGGTTTAGGGTTTAGGGTGTACTCCCTCACATTTTGCCAAGCTTACGGCCGGAGCGGACTTTGTGTCGAAGAACATACAGATCTGAGGCTGCCACGACAACTAGACAAGTTTATCAAAACTTGCCCTACTCAGCAGAAGTGGGTTTTTGCAAAAGCCCAAAACACACGCT